ATGGGGGGATATTCCCCAGGGTAAGGCAAAAACATTTCCCCCAGAACTGTAGATTGGACCTTTGACAGCCAGATCCATAAAATATTAGCACCACGAAAAATATTGATGTGACCAGAATGTACAAAAAGATAAAAAAAGTACCAACATTTTTTCAGTAGCCAAGCAATCTACACACATCATATGGCATGATAACCATGGTGCCTGCTAAACAGGACCGTGGATGGATTGGCGCTTCGAAACATACTCTACTTTTGGGAAAACAAGTGTAAAAAAGCTCTAGGTAGCTCACAAGAAGCAAAAGTGAAAGGGGCAGGTCTTCAGCTTACATTCTATAAGAATTGCAGACGCTGCTAAGCATTTAATATGAGTCTTTGACGGAGCGAGCTGACATACACAAACTGAGCATGTCAATCTTCGGGCTCTCCTTCCAGAAGGTCCCCATGGCTCTTGGTCACACGAGGAGGTGCCAAAAACTCTGCAGAGATAAGCTGTCACTGTCTGCTCAGGCAGAGACAGTTAACTGGCCGCACAGCAGCCTATGAAACGAAACACTGTGCTTTCCATGCACAGCACCAGAAACTGGCGACGTTCACAGCAAGGACAACGAACTGGTCCCACAAAAGCCCTTTGGATACCAGGGAAACTTGGGACGAGGTTGCAGAAGATCCGAAGTCTTCTAATAGGCAATGTTTTTGGGGCACCAGGGAGTATCTGGATACAGTAGACAATGGACGGAGCGAAACCTGCAAAGAGGACAGGATGTTTAGAGACTTGGAAATTTTATTAACAGGATTTAGATTTAAAAAAAAAAAGTCTAAGAGCTTCTTAAGAAAGCAATGATGGTGAATCCTTACCTTGATGGATCGTCCTCAACTGAAAAGGCTCCCTTCATGAGGATTGCATTTCTCTTGTTTTCAAACATTCCGTAACTCAGTGTCACCTGGGTAAAAGAAAAAAAAAATTAAGTATTTGTAAGAAATTATTTCTACATCTTTCTAGCATAAGAACATCCCAACCTTTACCCCAATTATCCTTAAAAAGTCCCCCTATTATGAATAGAACATTGCAAAAATGTCAGTCCCTATGTTTAGAAAAAAACAAAAGGCTCAGTATACTGGGAACTGATCTTACCTGATTTGGGATTTCACTTTGAGGAACTTGGTGCAGGTTTTCCAGATGAGAATGGAAGAGGTTGCTTCGTATTAGTTTCACTCCAAGAACAGACTCAATGATATAACCAATGGTGCAGTCATCGGGAAGTCGGATTTTCTCAGCTGTGTTCATAAAGTGTCCCCCACTGCCAAAGAAAAGCAAACTGTTCAATAAACTGCCAATCAAAGCCCAGATCATTACTCATAAGATCCATGTTTATCTGCTACTCTACTGTCCAATCAAACAGTGCCCAGTAAGGGTGCTCTCATTCCATAGAGGAGATGCCAACTGATTGATCTTAGTCATGAAGTCAATCCTCAGTAATAAAGTAAACCTAAATCAATGAAGGAGCCAAGAAGAGGCTTATAAAGCTAATTAAGGCAACAGCAGGTATCTAGTGGTGTCTTCTTAGGTCATTTACTTTGATATGCCAAAATGTTTGTAAAAAGGACTGCAATATAAAATGCCATGTTTCATAATTCACTTCTTGTGAGGCAATAATGACTAGAGCCAATTAAAAATTCTCCTGTTTCCCAATCAGTATCCTCAACTGGTTAACAATATGTAATAGCAAAAAGTTTCTAATAGAATCCAGCTCCTCCAGTGGCAAACCAGAAGTTGACAGGGCGCTGTGTAAAAAAAAAAAATATATAAAATCATTAGATAACCCAAATAAGATGGAAACAAGAGGACAAAATGGCAGCTCAGTTCCACCCAGCTTTTGAGAACCTCTAAGCAGACCTCCCCTACTTACCATTTTGCTTTCACTGATTCTCTCAGTTGCTTGGATAGGCCGATCTAAGCTTGGCTTCCCAATATAGACATCGTTTGTATGAGAGTAACGGGACAACAGTTTAATCAGAGTCTTGACATTGACGTAATTGTCATCGTCCACATGGCAGAACCATCTAAAAAAGAAAAAAGGAACATAAGATATAGCCACATACTGTATATTTCCCTAGAACTTAATGCATGTACAAATGTACTTTGTATTATGCCAATTCTCTGATACTTACTTCATATTGGACTCTATGAATTTGTCGTACTCGACGGCCATTTTACAGGACAAGGCTTGGCGGCTGTGAGCAGCAGAGCAGTTTGTGCTGATAACATTATCTGTAAGGGATAGAAATACACGATCAATATACAATAGCCTAAAGTACATAGCTGTGCAATGCAAAGAGATTTTGGGCGAATGGCAGCCCTTGCTGGCAATGGGTTAATACAGCTGCTGGGGTTGACAGTATAAGGTTACAGTATAGGATAGCATATAACACTGGGGGAGGGAAGCAGCAGATAGAATGGGCCATTGTCATTTTACCGGGGGAGGGGAAAACATGCTAGCTTTGGGAGTGAGCATGTGAAAGGGTTAATAATTACAAGCCCCCCCAACCCCCCATTTTTTTTTTTAAAGAGATCCCTTCCCATTGAGTATGCACTTTCCCAGATCAGGCCACCTGTTACTGGCTGTGCTCTCTCAATAGACGCTGTATAAAGAGTCTGAATAGAAATCATTTACATGAGAAGGATCAAGGCTGTGACCCAGACTCAATGGGGGAATAAAAAATACACACGCCACATTAGCAAGAGACCCACCCCACTGCTGGTGTTCCACCCTTCCCTCTCCATAATGGTTTATTCCTAGCTACTGCTTAAGCTTGCTCCTCGACAGTCTAGTTAAAAGGTCTTAACAATAGAAGAGGGGGTAAAATACAGTACAAAGGACCTACAGCACAGGGGGAACATCCTTTGTCAGGCCTATTCACGACACAAAACTCCATGCTGCTTAACCAAGTTGTCCTAACCCCACAGAACAGGGGCAAGCTTTAAATATGTTAACCAAATAAACTGTTTGAAGCCCCTTTAAGGTTAGAAAGACAAAGGAAATCAAATGATTGATCCCAAACTGAGCAATTATTAAATATCTTCAAGAAAACACTTGAATGCAACACTAATGCCCTCTTTTCTGATTTTGTTTAATTCATCTCAATAGAAGCCTGGGTTTAAGTAGTTACCAGCGTAATGTTTTTTTTTATAGCTTGCTTGTATGTAAAATAATATTCGAAAGTAAAAGTGGATTATGCAACAAATGGAAGGGATTTAAGACTTAATCCTCACCTGTCTTTTTCTGTAGCTCTTCGTCCTCCCCATCTGTGAAGATGAAAGTCTGAAAGATACAAAGGAGATAAAAGGCACATTACATTTCTGTGGTCGGGATTGCACCTGGGACACTTATACAAATAGGATACAGAAAGGCAGATGGTTAAAGGACAGAGCATATAATTTGCAGCTACCCCGATCAAATCCATGACCAGCTCCTTTTGTGTGAGGATTCTTGGAGTGCGACAGCTGTGTTGGGTAAAAAGTCTAAAGCCCTCCCTGAGGCTTGTAAATGGAGATGGTATTATAAGACTGGCATGTTGAAGGAAGCAAGAGTTTACTGCACTGCTACTCATGGGTCTTCTCGATACAAGGCCCATGAGTGACTCTTTCACTGGACCATTTGGATCTACTTGCCTTGAGCTAGGTGTCCACCATTGGACTATATAGCCAAGGCAAGTTGATAAAATGCTCCAGTGGAAAAGGCACTCACAGGTCTTGTATTGAGAAGACCCACTGGACTAATATATATATATATATATCAGTAATAGATTTGAATTGGCTACTATTGCATACTAAGCTTTACAGGTTACGCTATTGGTTTCCAATTTCACTTACAGGGTTATTCACAAAAGGGTGAAGAGTTTGGAGAAGGCAGGAGAAGTGAACAATCTAGGCTAAAATGTACCGATTTGGAAAAATTCTCCAATTCAGCTCACTTTCCAGTCCACTTCTCCTGCTGCTCACAACTCTTCACCCTTTTGTGACTAACCCCGTTAGTTTTATTCCCTTAGCTGATATATTTATAAACCTAGCTACAAACGTTGACATAATTTTATATTTAATAGTAAAAGGCAACTACCATGTAAAATTGCACGCTTGAAAAGATACATGATCCCTACTGTTCTTTTATGTGATGCTCATAATAACAGCTGTTTTTGTGGCACGAGTCTTGGATGTGTTCGACCTGCCACGTATCAGAGGGTGGTACTGTACCAACCTTTGCATCTGCCGGATGCTTTAGCTTTGCTTCCAAATGCTTTACTTTGTTTTCCTCACGTACGCACGCCCACCGCTATTCCTATGTAACTCTATAGCATTGAAAACCATTGCAGCTTTTGGGCCCGTAGAGCTGGGGGTTACCTTGGTAAGTCCTGCTCACTTTTACCTTCCCCACCTGCCTGACCGCCGTCCCTTATTGACACAGCCAATGCTTGGCAGATTTCGTCTGTCTTTGTGGTTATGTCTGTTTGCTTTTATTGTAGTAAGGAGCAAGATTTTCACAAAACAATTCAAAAAATAAAAACAAAAAGAAATCACAAGCCCCGTCAATCAGTTACAGAAGGGAAGAAAGGAAAGACAAGCATGGCATACCACCTGCCTGTTCTAGGTAAAAGAAATAAAGAAAAAAAACAAGACACAAAAGAGGCATAAAAAGAAAGTAAAACACGGCAACAAAGAACAATGCAGGAGGAGGGAAGGGAGGCTAGATACAAAACTGCCGCTGAAGTGGAAGCTCTGCTGTCAAAAGCAATTTATGCCTGTGGTAGGCATTCTAAAGAAGGGAAGAGGGGAAAAGTTGGAAGTCTGTTTCTCGACAATGGGCTAAATGTTGCTGGCTAGCTTTACTCACTGAGCAAGAGTTTAAGCTGAGACGTGTCCTACTTATTAGCATACAGCTGGCCTGGTTAAGCTTGGTGAATTGAAAAGGAGAATAAAAGAAAATGATTGATGTGGCAGCCCTTTTCTCCCTCCCGGTACTCTGGAGGGGGGGTGGGGGACGGACTGGAAAGGGGGCAGCGTGGGTTCAGGATGCTTTAAAAAAAAAAAAAACATTTGGCACAATTGGTCCAAAAAGTCTTTCCGCAAAAAAAAAGCCCTACAAGACCGCGGTGAAGCAGACCATAGCAGTCAATCAGAAATCATCTACTAGTTCCTAGACTGCTCTTTACTCATAAAAGATAAAACCTGATTGGTTAGTGCAAGTTTGCACATTTAGCTTAACCCTGATCTTTTGCGTTGCCTTATTAAATAAGCCAAAAGAGCCAGATGCTGCTTTCTTTGAGGACTACTTCTCAGTGTTTGTAGGCTCTGCGGGGAAGATTGTAAACTTAGACACCCGCAGAGTTATGTGTCATCTACAGGACCAGAAGAAGAATTTGCTTTATGGCGATCATACCTTTCATCTCAGCAGGAGTCAGTTTTGGGACTATAAATAGATTGCAAACTGTTTATTACAGGTCGGGCTGAGCAGTCCCCATCCTCTCCCCTCCTTTGTCCTCCTCAAAGCTCAGAGACAATGGGATGATTCCTGGCCATAAAAGAAGAGTCTCCTCTTTCTATAGAGAGACAGGAAAGAAAAAAAACTCTGGCACCCCCCCTTACTTTATTGGAAATGTACTCCGGAAACTTGTAGCCTGCCTGCCTGCTCCTTGCTCCCTGGGAGGAAGGGACAGTCTGTTTAAAGCCCCAAGTGTCACCTCTTAGAAGATATCTGTGATCGGCAGGATCCCTGGCTCACACCCCTTCCTGCCAGGCCCAAGGAGCCCAGCCAGGAAATTCAATCAATCTCAAACAATTAACCTTTATCTGCTCCCTAGCTACTAACACTACATGGGTCAGACATTCCAGAAGCCTTCTGACACCAGGCTATATTTAACAGTGCCAGATAAGACCATTGATGTGCTGAAAGTAATCCACAATGATCAACCAAAAATTAGAAGCCAAAGATCACTAAAATGCCATCATGCAGGGGTGGACAAATGAGCCAGTCAGTCCAATCCAATAGGAGCCAGCTCCACTGACAGCCTTAAAAATTGGGTGCCGTAGGCTCCTAGGATCTGTCCAGCCCTACTCTAATCTATACTGACCCATGAGATACTACCTTGATGCAGGTCTATCAAGTCAGGGCTGCTGAAAGCGGATATCTGATTGGCTGGAATGGATACAATTTTATTTTGAGGCATATTTTTACTGGAAATCATATTGTTCGGTACATTTTGTGCCCCCCCCCCCCTATTAACTATATAAGAAAACTAAGGTATGACATCCTGGAACAACTGCAGTTCAAGTCCCAGGGCAAAGAGCAAGTGTTGATTGTGGTTTATAAATTCCTCTGAAGTTTTACAACTTCAGTAACAAGTAGGTGACCGTGAATGTCATTATTTCCTCAAGCTGGCTGGAGAGCATAGTGACAAGTGAGGTGCGTAGGAGGGCTGCGTGCTGCAGCCACGTGTTCCTTAATGCTCCATTTACAGAAACTGAGAAGTTTTCATTTGAAACAAGTGAAATTAGTGAGTCCCCACATTTGACCCCAAGCAGACAAGTACTTGTCTCAATTACAGGAACCCTCAACCCATTCGGTTTCAAAACCCATCACCTATCACTGACTCACCATCATGCAGTACAAAAAGGTCTGTCTGCACATTTCTTTGAAACTTCTGCATTTTCCAGGCAGCTTTCGAAATGTGATCTTTATTTTTGGTCACTTCTCTAAGTCTTAGTGCTGGCCACAAAATGCTTTTGTCGCTTAAGCAAAGGGGATTTTACGAAAGAGGAAGCATCATTATACTAAAAATCAACAAACACAGGATGCCAACTCCTTTTGTAACAATATAACAATAGGCAGCTTGCCCAAGTAAAAAAAAAAAAGGTAGATTTTATTTGAAGACTAATAAAACAATACTATCCAATATAATAACTAGAAGTATAGCTGCCTGGGGACGATGGACTTAAACTTCCACAACAGCTGGAGGACTGCAAGCTGCCTGTAACCAATCCTCTAGCCCTGTAATAGCTGATATGTCTAATCTTGAAAGCAATGCATGATATCCAAATTCTGGTGTAATTATGTGTGGGATCATTTCAAATTTGAATTTCGCGCTGTGTTACCAGAAGACAGGTTTGACAAGGTGATTACTACCTGCATCAAGCTGCTTGTCATACCACCTGTCAAACAATCCCTACACGCACAGGTCTACCCAAAATATTGCCTAACCAACCCCGGATCAGGACAAACAGCTTTGCGTTATTGGATGAGTTCCAACCTTCATTACAGTTTAATGAGTTTACGTTATCAACACATTTAAAAAATGCCCTCATTAGCCGATACTGTTTGAATCTGAATGCTCTGTACAAGTAATTGGGGAGTCATTAAGGTTATGAATTGTCTAATAAATCCTAGTAAACTAATTATGGCCAAGTTTATATAAACAGTGCGCTGATCCAAAACTAGTCTGAGTTATAGGTGGATGGGTCAGTTGATGTGGAAATTCAGGGGCAAGTTGCTTATGTCACACTTCAATTATCTATCAATCTACCTATCCGTCCATCCATCTACGATGTAGGAAATCCCATGGCACTACCCTATAGCAGGTGTACAGACCTAAGAACCCCAACCTGCTGAGAACCAATTTCAGAATGGTAGCCACCATCACTGTTGTACCAATACTACATGAACGTTACTTTTGGACCTATTGGGTTTTATAAAAAAACATGATCACAAGGAGTCTACTCAAGACCTCAGACCATAAGTAATTTGGCTTTCTACCAAGATAATTATAGTCCTTCAACTTCTGTCGTATATTGTGACATTCTGCTCTGATGTTCCCCATACCACGCAGGGTTTATATCGATAACAGGTTTGTGATCTAAAATGTAACCAGCATGAAGGTGGGAGTTGCATTTTGCAGTCAGATGTTCTGGTTACCCCCATGTTCTTGCTAGAGGAGGTCACAACCAGTTCTTCCCAGTTCCATCTGATTCTGTTGGACCGTGTACACACTTGTGTTTATACCATAAACAGAAAGCAGAGCTCTATCTGCCTCATCTCTGTTGATATATACACAGAGCCGCACGTCAGGAGCATGTAAGGCACGCCTCTCCAGAGCCGTTACACCTGAGGACAAAACCTGGAAAGGCAGCCTCTGTCTCGTCACTGCCACAGGGGCTGCCAAGGGGTCCCCGACTGTGACTTAGGCAGGTTTAACAAAAGCAGAATGACTGAGTTAAGTGGCGTCACTGCCACCGGGCCTGTCCGGGGGGGCCGTCAGCACCTCAATAGTGTGTTCCATATAGACCTAACCCCTCTGCTGCTGGAGGCAAAGATTTTGCACTGTACTGCTGGAAATTCCATTCCAAGCAGGCAAACTGTGCATGGGGTATGATCACTTGACAAGGCATTTATCTAGGTGAAAAAAAATATATAACAAGCTGTGAAGGAACTGCAAGAGTCAGCATGCTGGACCTTGTAGTTTTACAACTGAAGAAGCTTTTGCAGTAACCTAGCCTACCTGCAGTGTGGAAACCCTGAGCAACCCTCCAGAAAGCAATGCTTCAGCCAATACCAACTAATCCCAGTTGAATAATTGCCCATTTTTGCATTTGGCACGACTGAACCTATATGCAATCCAGGGGTGGACAATTACTATGGAAGTCCGGAGCCAGGCTGTCCAATCCTGCCAGCTGGATTTTTATAGGAGCTAACTCCTTTGACAACAACTAGAGAAAACCTCAAAAGTTAGGTGCCAGCTGTCACTTTAAAGAGCATCGCGACCTGGCTCCTGGGATTTATCCATGCCTACAAAAGGTACATGTAGTACATAAATGTCACAGCCATTCAAACTCCCCTAAGGGCCACCTAATGTTCTCCAATATTAAAAATTATAAATATCTGCAAAAACAAAACAAAAAACGACAAGTATGTCAGCCTAAATTCCAAGCGCAGCCCTTTCGCGGCTTTAGCAATACTTCAGCGCCGAAATGCGAAAATATGATATGTGCCACAGGCGACATGCAGGAGGGAACTCCTGCAGATTGCCTAGCATTGGCTCCTTGCTGCAGAAGACATATTAAGGAAAATGGTTGAAAAAAAAAAAAGGTTTTGTGCGAAAGGTGTTTGGCAACTGTGGGAGGAAAAAAAAAAATCAGCCTGGTCATCGCTAGCAAGGAAAAGTCAATCTTTCGCCAGCTGGGGTGGTCCATGATTTTAATTATCTCCCTTTTACCCCCTTTTTTTTCTATTGTGCGATCAAAATACCCACGAGGAACAATAGAGAGAGGTAACCGTATCGCCCCAGCGTAGACACAGGAAACCTGTCCTATTGTATCTATCAAAGAGACCTTGTCCTCTGCAGCCCTAAATGCATTTTCTCACTGCTCCTCTATAGGAGACTTCAATCAGATAACAGCACCGAAAAAATACTATGCATTAACCCCTACGCTGCCACTGCCCGGGAGTGCAAGGGTTAAACCTCAACACTCCACCGGGTGAACAAACAACCTCATTATCACAAACTTGTGTAAGATTAGGGGGTGGGTGGGTGAATTAACTCTGTTTTGGGTTAAACATTCAATGTTTACTACCCAGGGGCACGCTGGAAGTGAACGAACTGGAATTTCTACTTGCGCCCTAAGGTCCTGGCAAAAGCATCGATTGAGTACATGCTGTTGACAAAACACACAAGTTCATCATTTATTAAAAAGAGGGGAAAAAAAGCAGCGGTTAGACATTTCCGCGTAAGACACTCTTTGGCTAACTGCGGCTTCTTAAAGGGGCCAGCGCAAAAAAGGTGATTGATAGTCAGGTCTTCCTGGGAATTTTTTTTTTTTTTTTTGCTAGGTCCCATTTGCAGTGAAAAAATTCAAAGCCGGACTTTCTTTTGGGCTTGCAAACCTGAACTAAACCTACATTCGTAATGCGGAACAGGATTATCTTGGCCCTCTTTAGTGGAAGCCCTGAGTAGCTGTCAAGGCATCGCTTGAGGAATCTGAGACCGATTTCGCTTGGTCAATATGAAAGCGTAGCCATCCAAGCCTATTCTTAAATGGCTATTTGGGTCACATCTCCCTCAAACGGTTGTCCTTCAAGTACCCCACAAGGACTGTCAGCCTTGTCAAAGGGCCCCCAGAAAGCTTTGCCCTGGTTTAGCAAGCTACCCCCCCCCCCTTCTTTTTATCTTGGGTACTTCCTCGGCCCACATCTCTTAGGCAACCTGACCTGGACACCACCGCGATAGCTTGGACTTAAAGTGTTCCCAGCATAAAAGCTCCTTGCAAGAGACGGCAAAAGCCTTTTCTCTGGCCGTGCAGAAAAGGGGCATTGTTAGCAAACGCTGGGGGACAGCGTGAGAGAACAGGCTCGGTCCCTGGGAACTCAAACAGCCTGCAAGACCAAACAAAACAAAAAGAAACCGAAGAAGAAAGCGCTGGGATCCATTCTCAGGGATGTCATTCTATAGTGCTCATGAAATTTATCCTCGCCCCTCCAATCCTTAACTTCAATGCGTGCGCCATGGACAGAAAAGAAAAAAAAAAAAAAGCAGTTGCACGCATGACAAAAGAATAAACATAAAACACGAGGTATGAATGAAGTCGTTGGCCTTCTGGGTAAAATCCGTATACCCCTGACAAAATTAAAGGTGGCCTACCCAAAACCCAACTTGTTCAATTAAAAAACGCATACAGTAAGCCACTATGTCCAATGTATCAGGAGAATTGCTCATCGGTTACTATGGGTAACGGCACTTAGATGTTACCTTAGTTAAAAAAGAATTGAGATAAAACTTGCAAGGCTTCCTTTGGCAGGAAGCGACAGTATGGCTTTCTTGAATCCTACATACATGCGAGGAGTCCCTTACAGTGCTAACAGCTCTTGTAAACCAGTTGCAAGTCGTAAAAACATACAAGTGAAAAAAAGGAAAATAAATAAAAGAAAAATAAATAAAGAATAGCACCATGGAGCTGTGATTCTGATTGTTTGTGAAGGAACAATGTACAATGTATAGACGAGAGATGTGTATAGAACAATGTTGGTTTCCGGGCAGTACTGTGAATGGAGTCTTGCATACAATGCAATCTCCAGCAGGTCATATAGACAGGGGGAACAATCTGCTCTCTTATCTGCCCTTATATGATCCCATTTCACATTTGACAGGTTAAGTCTGATAACACAAAGTGAATGTCATGCTCCTCCCAGGTCCCTCCTCTCCAGAGGAAAACATATATCATAAGAGGGGATTTAGTACCATGGATAGTCATAGAGAGAATAGCACTACAGACACTCTTTCAGAAATAAAGAGGTGATCGGTTATTGGTTATTCAACATTCTAAAAGGCAATATACAGAGGTTACCCACCTACAGTCATAGGTATGGGGAAATCATTGGATCACAGACTCAATTAAGCATTTGTCTATCTATAAAGCCATCTGTGTATATACCTATCACCCTACCTATTGATCACCTATCTATTGATCAATTAATATTCCTTATCTATAAATCACTGTACATGAGCATTTATCTATTGATCATATATCTATAAATCAGCCATCTATCAATTAATCATCTATCTATAAACCTATTGTTGATCACCTATCTATAGATCTATGTATGTAGTTATCTATCTCTCATCCATCTATACATATATCAATGTATATACCTATCATCTATTGATCGTCTATCAACCATCTTAATGGACACATATTAAGTTTCTTTGATATCATCTAAGGTTCCACTAGTGATACATTGTGATTCATGCCACTGGGGATGTAGAAGCTCCGATGGCACACCGATCGCTATCCTACAACCTAGCGAAGCCTTCTCACCCCTCTAATAATGTAGCATTTTCATCAGATTATAATGATTGTTGCATTTTCTATTACAAGGTAACAGGTTTACAGACAGATGTAGGGGAAGGGGTAAGCAGGGGCACCCCAGGGGGTAGCAGGCTTTGATGAAGCGACAGGCACATGCCTAGGAGGTGTGCAGCCACAATCTGGGAACACCAAGTCAGAGGTGCGAGATGTCTCACCTGCTCCTTGTTCCTGGAGATCCACGTGTCCATGAGCATATCCATCCGGGATCGGTGGAACTTCTTGGTGGTCTTGACGGCTATGAAGACATCTTTAGCCGCGATTTCTTCCACAGGAGACTTGCTGGCAGAGGGGGTGGCCACCTGCTCCACGTCCCTCCTGTCCCGGGTCAGCTGGCTAAAATAAGCCGAGAAGCTCTGGGCATCCTTGGCAGGCTCGGCTGCATCGGGCAGCTCGGGGCCATCAGATCCGGGGAGATCTGATGACTCCAGCTGTCTGTTCTGCTGATCGACCATGAGGACCAGGAGGCAGGTGAGAGTGGCGCCCACCATGGACAGCAGCAGCTTCCTCCCGCAATTCTTCAGCATGGTTGCCGTGTGGGGCGATCGGTCCGATGAGTGAACAGAAGACGCAGACTGTATTGTATCCCACTGTGCTGCAGACACCTCCGAGCGAAGCCCTCCGGTCACTGACACTGTACACACACTGAGGACACAATGCCGCCGACAGGGATTTAAAATCTCCTACTGTACGAGCACGCCCACTGAGGCGGAGGAAAAACATAACCACGCCCACAGCAGCGTTAGCTATAGAGTAGGAGGCTGATCCGGGGGCGTGGTTGGATTGTAGGTCACGCCCCCAGTGGAATCCCATGTGGATATTAATCTGGTTCCCTCAGTGTCACACGTGGGCGGGAGCTGGCCGGGCGAGGACGTGTGGGGACTATGAGCGGAATGCAGGATCAGCTGCCAGATCTTTATTATTTGTTCAATTATCAAATAAAAAAATATAATCTTTTATTATTACATGTTTATAGTGGACCTGTGAACAGCATGGGGACTGTTAATGCCTGTTCGAGTTTACAGTTGTGCAAGAGTATCATGTAGTATTTAAAGGAGAACTCTGGGAAATGAAAAAAACAACCTTACAGAGGGGGTTACCCAAGGGGGATGCAGCCTGGACACAATTAGAGGGAGGGTGACAAAAAAATGACTGACAGTTATTTTGGTGTCACCCCTAAGTTGGGCACTAGGTCAAGGACCGAGAGCCCAACAGCAGCACAAGAGAGGGGGGACCCGGGGGTATACCTGATCCCTCGGGTCAATATCCGCTTCTGTCTTTGGCCGGCAGCAGTGAAGTACATAACTGCATGCCTGATGATGTCACACCACGGACGTCATAAAGCACACACGGCGGCTGCACCCTGGTGCCACTGCTGGGGCTACCCCCATACGGCAAGGGATAAATGTTTGTTTTGTTCTAGAGTTAAAAAATATATATACATACTCACTTGATCCTTGGTCCTGCGGCGGTCAGTGCTCACCTCCCTCCCCCTCTGCTCTGGCATGTCCTCAGGTCTAATGCAGGTCAGTGTTGCTGCATAAGGACGTAATGACGTCCGCGGTCTGTAGACCACTGGAGCCCAGGGGAAAGGAGACTACGGGAACAGTCTAGCAGCCTGGAAGCAGCCGGCCATGAGCGCTGAGACCAAGGATCAGGTGAGTCTGACCGCCAGGGGACCAAGGATCAGGTGATTCTGACCGCCAGGGGACCAAGGATCAGGTGTGTCTGACCGCCAGGGCACCAAGGCTCAGGTGAGTCTGACTGCCACGGGACCAAGGCTCCGATGAGCCTGACCACTACTGGACCAAGGGTCAGGTGAGTGTGACCACCATGGGACCAAGGATCAGGTGAGACTGACTGTCACGGGACCAAGGATCAGGTAAGTCTGACCGCCACGGGACCAAGCATCAGGTGAGCCTGACCGCAATGGGACCAAGGATCAAGTGAGTCTGACCGCCAGGGGACTTAGGTTGCTGATACTTTATTTAAGCCCCTAGACCAAATGAGCAACTAACCCTTGCAGTGCAGCGGTAGCCCCACTACAAGGGTAAGTTTTTGTTTGCCCGGAGTTCTTCTTTAAAATAGTGGTCCATTGTTTAATAGCTAGTGCATGCAGCATCAAAAGTGGTGACGCAAATAGCCGTGCTCCTTAAGGGCATGTTTAGTTTTAGGTCTACAAGTGTGCATAGAGGTGCGTTATTTTGCGGCATGTGCGTACATGTGAACGTGCATTGTCTTTTTGTGTTTCCATGTATTTTCATGAGTACCATTCATGTTTTCAAAGCATGTTGAAATATAGAATTTGGACTGGACAGGGTTAACAGCCATTGGCCATGGCTTGTTAATATCTGTCGCCGACAAGATAAACCGCATGTCTATGCGCTTTGATGGACTGAAACGCATATGTCCAACTTCCCCATAATAATTGTGTCTGTTCCCATCTCATTTTGGAAGTGCGTTCTGGAAAATATCATGTCCATTTTTTTTAGTGTGTTGGGAGGACCATAAAAGTCCATGAAAACACATGTAATATGCATTGTCATGCTTTGGCAGGTATTATGAAGCCTTGGTCAACAGTGTGGAGAAGATTAAAGCTAGCGGCTGAACATGCGGGCGTGATTCAACTGCTAAATTATCTTTTTTTGATTATTTTATCGGTCATTATCCTGTTTGATAAAACTCCCTTGAATAACTTGAAAGAGTTCACCGAACAGGAAATTCTTGTACTACTGGTTAAACATCTGGTGGAATTAAAGTGACCAATTTGTATGCTTAATGAGTCCTTCATTAAAGGGGGTTTCTTTGCAATGACCTGTGACTGACTTACAAAACCGGTTTAGAACCTGGTCTCCTAATTATTAATGGCCATTCTTATGTACATTTATCAAACTGTATTCTGCCGTTTGCAGAGCTGGCACAAGAAACAAGACCAGGAAGAAAACCACATTTTTGAATTTGCAATTGTCCACCTGACATTGATATTATAAGGGGGTCTGGTGGACTTTCCATTTAGTGTATTACAGAGGGTAGACAATACAACCACTAAAGTTCACTGAAATTGTAATTTTGGATGGAAGGGGCATATAAGATATCATCAAGTCCACATGATGTTTAAAGTCCAGTTCCAGTCCATCCTGCAGTCCCCCATATGTCATTTTGATAAGTTTTAGCATACATACCTTGTTGCAGCTATCTTCTGGCCAGTCATGGGACTCCGATGGTCTTGTTCCTCTTATCTTGTTCAGCAATGAATGGTCCTCGTTGACCATCCATTGCTGAACAAGATAGAAGGAACAAGACCATTGGATTCTCCTATCTTGTTCAGCAATGGACTTCATTGACACAGAGAGTGGTACTATGTCAATGAAGCCAGCATTGTTCTCTGCAGTATTTTACTGAGGGTGCCACCAATGCCACCATGAAGCACCCTCAAAGGTGCCCTGGGCTCACAGGAACTGAATGATGCTGGTCTTTTAACCAACAACCAATGATGAACCATGAAAGTCTTTGGGGGGACAGCACTGAGGAGTAAGTGAGTTTTAGGGCAATGGATTAATAAACAAAAACTGGAATTGGGCAGTGAGTTATTTACTTGTCCATGGTTCATTTTACCCAATGAATAGTCAGCTATAGAATACAATTAAAGGGTTTATTCCACCCTAAATGTCACCATTATTTGGTTGAGACCGTTAACATTCCTCGATTCCTTGATGTATTTGCTTTCCAACTCCCTAATTGTATCACAAGCTTCTGCTCATATATAAATAGACCTTGTTGCTAGCACAGGAGCCACTTGGGCATCTGACAGTTTGTCCTGTCCAAGTGTTACCGCCAGCAGTTCACTGATATGTGCTAAAGCTGAGGGTGTTTATTGAAAAGACAGAAGTGTGTCCTATATGAAGTGTGCAACCCCACCTCCCCTCTACCACCACCAACTTATTTCAATAGCAAGCTCTAATAACAGGATGGGTGATTATGTTGATTTATTACTGTAGGTCTGCAGGTCTGACGAATATAACACATGCTTGTGAAATCTTTAATGACTTTCAGCAATCCAGCCCTGTGTATTGCAAATGAGCATTATCCGGTGTGTAGGTGTAGATCTATTCACTATTCAGCGAGAGGCATTTACAATCAATAGTGTATTTGCATTCCTCTAGGCAAGTGGCAGACTGTAGATAATCCCTTTACCTGGCTTAGGTTTTTATGAGTACACATGTGAAAGATCACTGTCAAGAGAGTTAATTTAGAGTTACTGAAAACACACTGTAAAGCTGGCCATATCCTTTAGAGAACGATGGGACGTGTATGTAGAGACTGTATCAGAATGTGTATTGGGCCATTTTCCCCCAAACATGAGCACTGCTCGTCAGAGCAATGTGCAGACTGTCCCAGTGTTATGGAAAATAGTAGCGAGTGGTCAAGGTTTTATAATCTGTCCAATCATTTTGTTCTCCAAGAATGCTTGTTTGGAGTTGATTGGCCCTGCACCAAAGAAATTGCACTGTTGCCCAATTTGGCCAAAATGGAATTCCTACAGCAACTTACATTACTATGTACCAAATATGCCAGGCAAACTGACATATTTCCCCAGTCCTTGGAAAGAATAGCTAGTCAGTGATGTGGAATCAGGGATGGAGCCTCTGTGGTTGCAACAGGCCACCTAAAACACTAAGGACTTGCCCAGGTGGACATTGAAGAATGTCCCTGGTGAAAGGTTGCAGTCCCAGGATCTCTAAACTCCAGGTCTTAGAGATTTTATTTGATTTATCCAGGTATGGAAAAACATGTCAATTGTCCCTTGCCTCCCATATGACAGTGCTGGTGCTTGGCAGTTTGCAGCTGAGATAACCCAACATGGTCATCTTGTGGTAGGGAAAGCGGCCTCAGTCCTGTGTATGCTTCATGTTGCAAACTCAGCATACACAGGGATTCCTCTGTTCACTACTGGTGGCCAAACCAAGTGCCAGTGGAGTAAAACAAAGATGGGTATGTGCATATGGTGCAATTAAAGTGAAACTTCAATACTGGGCATAGAGAAAGCACAAGAGCCTCGTTCAGCCTCCTTGAAGCAAATACTTTCACATCTTCATACTTGTGTTTTCTCTACATTACCCTTGGTTTGCCTTCTCTTTGGCTCTCAACATTTACAGCCTTATCACAAAGGGGGAAAAAACCTCAGCCTTACCTCAAAGATCTAAAAACTGCAGTATTTGCAAAGGGGCCCTGTCACCTCTTTGCATGAATTGTACAGGAAGGCGTCCAATGGGCATTTTTTCATTCCTATAAGTTCTCGTTAGTAGTGGATCCCAGCTAACTACTTGAGATACATGTGAGTTTGTATCATTGTTTTGCATTAAAAAAGATGTGTGCAACAAAATGGAGCATTAATCCAACATCAGTGTTAGGTAAGTGTTTCCCATTTTTAGAAAAAGTAAGTGCTACAATCTCCTTGGCTTGTTGTCTTATTATTAGAACAGTTGATTGTTGCATTGTTGTATAGTCACTGGACCAGTAAAGAGACATTTA